TGGTATATTGAGTGTGCGTGAGCATCCTAGGCTTGCCCGTGACTAGGGTTTTAGTCGTTGACCTGCGGGAACCACAGTACACAGAAAGACGGACCAACCTGGTGCATGGGATCAGACTAAGGCCTTCGGGTTCTTGTGTTGACCCCAAATAAGCCTATTAAGTCTTCGTGACGAAGTAGGTGTTGGTGGTGGGAGGTGTACCTAAATTTTGGACATATTCCGATACGACAACTGGTGCCGCGACCCGGGATTGGTGGTGACCTTCTGTGTGTTGTGCTACTGAAGGTCGATTGACTTATCGGGCAACAGCCAAGAGAAGAAGAGAAGAGAAGAAGTAGAAAACAAGAAAAGAAGAAGAAAACAAGAAAAAGAAAGAAACAAGAAACAATGGCTAAAGGATCGAATTCAGCGGTACCAGAAACCCCTGCGAAGACTGGCCGAACGGACGACTACGACACGGAAATACTGGTGGAAACACCTGGCAGTGACGAGTACACGGGACGCTCGGTCAGCTTCGAGGAGGAAGCGAACTAATCCTGTGAAGCCATGGAGGAGGATTACAACCTCGAGGAGAAGAAGGATATCCCAGAAGATGCGATTCTGGCGGCAGGGCGAAGCAGCGGTGCGAGAGATAGAGTGGAATGCCTCGTCAGGACCCGGATCTCGCGTCCCACTAATATATTGTAGTAGAGATCCAAGATCCTCAGCAATGCCAACACTTCCTTTTCTGTCACATTGTAGTTCAGCTCGTTCGTCTTTAACGCGCGACTGGTGAACACAACAGGATGGTAGATCCTGTCGTGGGCTTGCTTCAACGAAGCGGAAATCGTCCAATCACTGGCATATACAATCACCACCGGCGTTCTCATCTCGTCGAAATGGCGGAGAATTGGTGTCGTCGCGATCTTGTTTTGCAGGGAAATGGGAGGTTTACGCGCCCTGATCCACCTCTCATCTAATGGTCCCGCCAGCCGAAGTTCCGGTGGGCCGTTATCCCGTGGAATCGGGTCATTCTGGTCCATGATCTTCCTCAGATCCGATCGTTTCTCCAGTTCTCCAAACTCCACTTTGCGTAGCTCATATGGTACCGAGGCGTAAACAGCGTAGTCCTCCATAAATCGGCTGTAGTAATTCAGACTTCCCAGAAACTATTGCATGGATCAAAACGTTCCGGGGAATGGCAGATCGGTCAGAGATTTCAGATCTTTCGAGTTCGTCTCTAGGCCTTCGATCGATACTCGGTGGCCTTATCCATGTCCCAGAAGCTCTTTGTCACACCGATCGATAAACTCCACTTATCGCAAGCCTCCAACAGATCTTCCACTCTTTTCCACATTTGATTCCACGATTTCGCTGTGATCATGGTGTCGTCAATGTATGATCTTCGTCTCAACACTGACTCGCGGTCAGGACCTTCCGCGATCCCTGTCTGAACAATGTCCGTTGTATTCCGTGCGTCACCTGATCGCGGGATTTTCGGAAATCCATACAGCGCGTTGTCTACGAGGCGTTGGTAGATCTGGGGGTATTTTAGGCCAAAAGGCATGCGACTCCATTCGAATAGTCCAAACAGGGTGATAAATGCTGAGATATTGCGAGCCCAATCCGTCATGGGCATAACCCAGAAGCCACTGGCCATGTCCAGTGAGCAATACCATAACACCTTATCGAGGTCCTCTAGCAGATCGCTGATCAGAGGCATAGAATAGACCATGAACCTTGTGAGGCTGTTTACCAGCTTGTAATCGATGCACAACCTGATATCCACGCCGTTACTCGTGCGAGTAATCACGGTCTGTGAGGCCCATGGTGATGTCGAGGGTCGGATGATCTCGGCTGCTAGGAGGCCCTTGATCAGGCTGCGACTTTTTCCCGAAATCGCGTGGGTACTTTCCGGGATCGTAACGCGATAGGTTTCGCGTTCCCGACATCGATGTCACACACGACGCCCCTGGCCGCCGGAGGTAAGGCGTTCCCTTTGTCGATCAGGAGGTGTTGCTTTTTCCAAATGATCTGCTGGAGTTTCTCGATCTCCTCGGGAGTGGCCGATCCGGAGTCTCCCACCTGCAGATCCTCAATGTTGACAATCGCTGTCGTCGAGATTGGTATATCGGGGAGGACAGCTAGATTCCCCTCGAGATCTTCAGCTGAGAGATTACCACTCTCGTGGTAGTATATCTCGTCATCGTCCTCGGCATCCTATGGGGGTCGCTACTGCTCCCTCTGCTGACGGGTCCCGTAGTTCGACGCCCTCAGTCGGGTGGATCCAGGAATTTGCGCGGAAGTCTTCGTCGGATTAGAGCTTAACCCGGGTTTGACTTTCGAATTCTCCGTATTCGGCTTGATATCGTTTGTGTCCGTCTGATCGGTAGCGTGGTCCGGCCTGCTCTCACATATCCCACCGCCCCAGCATCGCCGCTCCGGTATCGATCGGCGTCGGGGTTTGTCGTCGGTGTGGATGGATGGCTCCCTTCCGTGTTGGGAAACGTTGCCTCGATCTGGGTTGCGTTGGCAATTCCCGCCCTCGATTGAGTTTCTAGGGTCGATATCAACATTCGATCTCGGTCGATGTCAGCGATTTCTGCCCGGCAAAGTATCTATCGTGGTGTGGGGTACGTCGGTCGTTGTACCACCCCTCCGTAAGTTCTGGAGGCTCTGATCGGGTATCCACCGCCGATTCCAATGCCAGATTCTGCCATTCCTTGTAGCGGCGAGACCCGACGGACACGAACTCTGGGGATCGGGGTACTGTGCCCTGATCCAGTATCATTACAACGTCCAGACGGTGGTCCGGCCGTAGGATCTCTTCTCCAATATTTGAGATCATCAGATAGTGGATCCGACCGGAACCTTCCGTTACTGTCGGTACCCATCGTTCTCCTCTGGTTACCCACCGTTTCTCCGTGACTGACAATTTTATCCTTGCTTCAGTTTCTCCCGATCGTCCAACCGGGATTCGTAGATTTTGATCTAGAACCACCGGTCTCACCTTCTCGCCATACAGTCTCTTACGACCATTAAGCGGTATTCCCACCTCGTCAGGTAGGCGCATCGGTCCGTCGGCAAGGTCCATCCGTACACCGGCTGGGACCATGAAATCCATGCCCAGGATCGCATTCTGGCCTGATAGGTCTCCAATCCAGATGTCGAAAAAATACACCAGATATCCCGCTAACGTTATCTTGATCCTGGTTCTTCCTTCCGTAGTATATACGTTGTCACCGATCCCACCGCATTCCTGTCTCTGGCTAGTGTCAAAATGGCATCCCCCATTACGAGCAAAGGCGGTGTCCATAATTGATACCTCAGCGCCAGTATCTAGGAGCAGGATCGCTCTCTCTTGATTGAACCTGCCTGAGATCTTAGCTTGTCGGAACCATTTTCCCGGTGCATGACGTTTCCAATACCCCGGGACTCTCCTCTTTTGAGATCTAAGGCCACTTCCGCCTCAGATCGACTATATTCGCTGATCCGAGGGATGCTCGCGATCTTGGCGGTGTACGAATGCAAATTACATGTATTACCGCGTAGATCCGATTTCTTCCTATCTTGATCTGTCATCGCCTTGTTCACACAGGCGTAGATGCAATATTTAGAACGGTCTGCTCGAACCGGATTCCATCCCGGCGAGCGTCCTAGTTTAACATCTTCTCAACTTGTTCAGGGAAAAGCCCGGTATGTCGAGTCGGATCATACCATTTGCGGATCTAATTGTAGAATCCCTCCATGGGGCATTCTCCTGCCTCGTGGACGTCCCCACATCCACGACACGCATACAGACAGCGATCCGTCGGGTGTTTCCTGGACCCACAATGCGAACTGCGGTCTCGGTCTTGGTGATCCCTGTCTCCCGGGGTGCGACGTTCAAGGATCCGGCCTCCCTATGGCGCTTTCGACCGGGATTGTGCTGGATCTGGGTTTTGCGAGACGCCCCCAGTACCGATCAACTTCTCTTCTGTCGCGGCCAGGAAGTTCAACTTCCGAGTCGGATCCGTCCGATCCCGAGACCCCTTCTGACCCGGAACTCGGATCTTGCGCCTGGATCGCGCGTACCATGGAACGGGCTGGCGCAGCCGGAGCACTGGCCGGGGCCTTCTGTCGATATTTCGATCCGAACGCGGATCTGCGTTGCCTGTTCTTGGCTCGTTCCCGCGCACGGATCACTTCCTCCAGTTCGTCGACGTCGGCCAATCGTAATAGCGTTAGGCGGTCTGCCAACCGGGGATCGTCCAACGTCTCGATGTAATGATCGACACGTTCCCGACGTGCTACTAGGTTTCCGTCCTTCATCTTGAGTTTAGCTCGTAGAGCAGCTACGTTCAGTCGATAGAGATAATCGAGTGGGGTCTCCTCGGATCTTTTCGGGCGTGGTAGTACTGCCATGCCACTGACATACCCAGACCACAGTATTGTGTCTGTAAGCTGTCGAGTAAGTCCGCCCATTTGGTCTTGGTGGTCCGACTTAGCTGTCGGTGCCAGTTCTTGGCTGGCCCTACCATCAGATCTGCGAACGTGAGACATTTCTCCTCTTCTGTTGCTTGATCTCGTTGGTACGCCAATTTCACCTTGCCGATCCAAGCCCTGGCGCGATCTTTGTCCATATCTTTCCCGATAAGTTCCTTCAGATCCGAGATGGCCGAAATTCGGTCCCTCTGGATCAGCGACGACCCTCCAGGACCGATCGCTGCCATGGCGACTGCATCTCGGCCTGAAGTATGACCGGAGGAGATCGAAATTCCGACATCGTCGGGATCGTACTCCCAGGAGTGGGGATCCGGGGTGCCGACGGACTCCATTTCGATATCTTTTGTTCCAAGGGGTGGTGGTTGGACCGTCACCTAACTTTGTTCCTTCAGGAATCGATTCATCGCCATCTGGAAGTATTCGTCCGGTTTGTTGCTTGTTCTGGTCGGGTTGGTCGTCGGAGTGGTTCGTCCAGTTGGGATCTGGGGCTCTTTCGGCTGATCGAGCTTCTCAGAGGTCTGCTAACTCGGTCCTGCTGGTCGATGATCCGGCCTGTTCGCGCGTGATCTCAGATACTTGGCGCCCGAGTGACCTAGCGACATACGTTGCGTGGCTCGGGGAGAATCCGAATGTTGCCCCCCTCCTCGTCCTGCTCCTAGTGACGGCCTCTGTGCCTGATCTGGTTCCGAGGTAGCCGACGCGTAATGTGACGACCCGGTCTAGTAGTTCAGATCGCGTGTCTGTACGTGTTCGCCAACCACGATCTTGAGTCGCCACCTGGATGCCTCCAGTTCCATCTTGAACAGGGAGTCTGGGTCCAATTCTCCACCTACTAGTCCGGCCTCCTGGAGAAGATCTAGCAGGTTCTTCACTGCATTCAGCCTATCTGAGCTAGCGTTTAGCTTGGATATCGGGCCTGTCAGATCGCCGATCTGGCGGATCTTTATGATCGCGAGGTCAGGGTCATGTAGCAGTATCGCGCTCAGGACCTTCCGGTAGTAGGCCTACTCGATCATGTCTTTGGCGATAGTCGATCTCGGTTTATTCACGTCTTCCGATTCCGAATCCGGTGCATTTAGCTTCGTCCGAGAGGCCTTGATCTTCTTTTTCTTGGACGATCGTATCGCGGCTACCGACTTGGTGGACGGATTGGACTTCAACTTAGTCGTTTCCTTGTCGGTTGTATACGGATCTAGATCTAGGTTCTCATCGAGATCCGTGGTGACCGCCGGGGTGGCCATGAGAGGAATTCGAAGCTTTACCGGGAACTTCCGTCCGGGATCCACTTGGGGAACGTGGCAACTAAGCCAATACATAACGTCTCATACCTTCACTGCACACCAAACCCTGTATCCACTGATCCACTTGTCACACGAACTGGCCTCTCGAACTGACCAATCATATACCGTCTGGGAACATTGTCCCAAAATCGCGGATCACATCGTGTCAACCGCCCTCTGATCTTCACCGAGCCATTTATCGAGTTGATCAACCATGAGCAGAACCCCCTCACACTCGAAGCGTAAGTCCGGACGGAAATTTGTTCCGGGCGAAGATCCCGCTGGGTCCTTGCCTACTCTTGCGTCACTTCTTTGCGCACTGTCGCAGTCTAGTCACTCCATTTCACGATCTAGTCACTCCATTTCAAAAGATTCTTCGGCCGTTAGATCCAAGAAATTTGCCTCACAACGCAAATTGCGCGACCAGCAATGCACCTCAGCCATGGCCATGCTGCCACCACGATTCCTGCCACCACGGCAACAACGGAGAGGGCTCTGTCCACTCCTACGCCGGCACCTACACCACGTCTTCTCCAGCGTCTGCGCCGCCAATCCCAGCGCAACTCCGGCCTGTGAACACCTCCTCTGAGGGCACCGAGGCCGGCGCGGGCAACGGTGGCGATGGCACGTCGTCTGGAGGATCCAAGCCTACGGCCACACATGTCCCACCGGTTGAGGCACCTCCTGCGCGCGAGCCCAAGGCTCCGGACGCTGCAGAGGACGCTCCTGACGCGAATGGCGATGGGGCTTCGCCTGTTATCTCCACTGTTGGTCCTCAGCCCCTCGCGCTTGTCCCGCACTCGGCTCCTGCGTCTGTGGAACCTGCATCGTCCGCCCCTGCCGCGTCAACGTCGACTCAAGCTGACGTGCCGTCTCCGACCACGCGGATGCTTGACCTTGGTGGCACCATCAAGTTCATGCACTCTGGGATGTTGCCGGCTTCTCACGCCAGCTCTCAAGGTTGTACGAACATCAAGCCGACGCGGGCTGTTATCCCACCGAGGCGAGGGTTGGACGCTGACTCATTCGTCGTTGGCGTGCCCGC